GGGTTTGGGGTTTAGGGATTTGGGGATTTAGGGTTTGGGGTTTAGGGTTTAAGGATTTGGGGTTTAGGGTTTAGGGATTTAGGGTTTAGGGTTTAGGGTTTAGGGTTTGGGGTTTAGGGATTGGGGTTTAAGGATTTGGGGTTTAGGGTTTAGGGTTTAGGGTTTGGGGTTTAAGGTTTAGGGATTAGGGTTTGGGGTGTAGGGTTTAGGGTTTTGGGATTTGGGGTTTGGGGTGTAGGGTTTTGGGATTCGGGGTGTGGGATGTAGAGTTTATTAGTATATGGGGCTTAAGGTTGAGGGCTTAGGCTTTACGGCGACATCCGCGACAACCCGGAGAACACAGCAGGTCAATATTGCCGGAGTCGTGCTCAATCATTGAAATATGAACAACTTTCGCCCTGCATCCCGAAACCCGAAACCCTAATTAAACCCTAAACCCTAAACCCTAAAGCCTAAACCCTAAACCCAATTAAACCCAAGGCCCTGAACCCTCAATTAAAGCCTATACCCTCAACCCTAAACCCAAATTAAGCCCTAAATCCCCGAACCCCAAACCCCAAGCCCTGATTCAACCCCAAATCCCCGAATCCGAGACCTAAGGCCCTGAACTCGAAACCCTGCACCCTACATCCCTGAACCCTACGCCCAAACTGCAAACCCGGGTTTAGGGTTTAGGGTTTAGGGAAAACCCGAAGCCCTGACCCCGGCTAATGTAGGGGCCTTAATGGTTAGAATAGGGTTTGGGGCATAGTATACGAAAGTTATGATAAGGAGCTCGAAAAATAGTATATGTAATCATTGAGGCCCCTATAGTAGACCCCATCTACCTTGCGCCTTATGAAGTATCCTGAATGGGACAGCAATAATAAGTATAGTTACCTGATTTATAAGCCTAGTTACCAAGCCGCATGATCCTTCAAGTAGCGCTTGGGGTTCAGGGTCTAGGGTTTGGGGTTTAGGTCTTGGGATTCCTGTAAGTGTTAGCCGTAAGGGGCCCTCAAGGACATCTTCCATGAACACTTCATCATACACTGCGGAACACAAACCCTAAACCCTGAACCCTGTACGGAAAACCCTAAGAGCTGAATTCCAAACCCAAACCCTGAACCCTGAACGCGAAAATCTCGTGAGGAACACTTCCCTAAACCCTAAAACCTACACCCTAAACCCATAGCCCTACACCCTTAAACCCTAAACCCTTCACCCCCTTAAACCCTAAACCCTCAACTTCATCATGTGGGGCACCAAGTAACTCAACACGTGTCGGCTGCCGCAGGGCTTGCGGAGGTTGGCACCGAAATTCTCAAGGGCATCACACACCTTTCTCGTCGGATTCGTGGGCTTAAGGTTCAGGGTTTAGGGATTAGGGCTTATTTTTTGGGGTTTAAGGTTTAGGGTTGAGGGTTTAGGGCTTGGGGTTTGGGGTTTAGGGTTTGGGGTTTTCGTCTCCTCCGATCTAAGGGATCCTTATAAGATTTAACTCATCATCATTGATAAAGAGTGCTGAGGCTTTAGGGCTTTGGGTTTAGGGCTTAAGGTTTAGGGTTTAGGGCTTAGGTTTTGGGATAAGGGTCTTGGGGCTTCGGGCTTTTGGGGGGTCTAGAGTCACCGACTACGGATCCTGAAGACTAGCTTCGCCATACAAGGATCCCTTAGATCGGGGGAAACCCTAAACCCTAAACCCTTAAGCCCCAAACCCTAAACCCTGAAAACTTCACAAGCCCTGCCTCCTGAGCTTAAAAATCTTCTCAAAGAAAACCCGAACCCCCTAAACCCTGAACCCGAATCCCCCAAACCCTAAACCCTAAACTCCCCAAACTCCCAGGGTTTAGGGTTTAGGGTTTAGGGTTTAGGGTTTAGGGTTTAGGGTTTAGGGTTTAGGGTTTAGGGCCCTAAACTCCCTAAACTCCCTGAACCCCCTGAACCCCCTGAACCCCCTGAACCCGGATCTCCTAAACCCAGATCTCCTAAACCCTGAACCCCAAAATCCTTTGTAGGAAGCTTCGCTGCCCCTTGAAAACCTAAACCCCACAACTCTAAAGCCCAGGGTTTAGGGCTTCAGGGTTCAAGGTTTAGGGTTTAGGGTTTAGGGCTTAGGGGGCAAACTTTGTGCGCCAAAACAGGATAGAACCCCAAAGGAACCCTTAAAAGAAACCCCCCACTAATCCTAAAACTCCCAATGCAGCGCGGCAAAGAAGGGGTGCCCAAGAGGACCACAGCACCCTAAACCCTAAACCCTAAACCCTAAACCATAAACCCTAAACCCTAAAGCCTCGGTGTTTGAAGGTTCATGGCGTAGGGTTCAAGGCTAAGGGCTGAGGCTTTGGGGTCGTTTGAGGGCCCTAAACCGTTAAACCCGTAAACCTTAACCAATAACCCCTAAACCCCCTAAACCCTTGA